GTCACTTCATTGTGTATGTGGTCTAGTTCATCTGTGAACTGCACTCAAAGCATAGATGCTGCTCTTATGGTTCAGCATAGTCATTTCCTACCTTCCATTTGAAGGTATCTGTTCCCCACCCACAATTTTCCATTCCTTTTTTTTTTTTGTTTTGGACCATTTCTCGATTTATGTGTGTCATCCTTGCGCAGGGGCCATGCTAATCTTCTCTGTATCGTTCCAATTTTAACAGATGTCCCGAAGGACACAAGTTTCCATTCCTAAGGTGCACCGATATAAATATTTCCAAGCTCCTGGTGGTATGAGGTCTCATTCGATGATGTTCCATACGTGTGTGCACACCCTTTCACACAGACACATTAATGGCTGAGGGAGTGTGTAGAGTGAGTTTTATGGCTGTGTCAGATTAGTTTCTCAGACTTACTGCCATTCTTGTCAGGAGTTTGGACCGACAGTCTGCTAGGATTGCAGGGTTGCTTGGTGTGAGTAACATAGACCTCTTTTCATCAGGGGTATCGCTAACTCTGGGCGAAGTGGCGAGTCCTTATCTATTCGTCAAATGTACCCTCGGCAGACTGTCGGGATTCAACCTCCCGTAATGACCCGCCATAAAACAGACTGAGAACACTGCTGATTTCTGAGTTCTGCCGATGGAATGGATGCCTTGCTGAGATTCCCGCATTCTGCTGAGTTTTGTAAGTCTGTGTGTGTGCATGCTTGGTGACCTGCGTGCATGTCTGAGTGTTTGTCGGCATGAGTGTGTGTGTGACTCGCAAGGGTACTTGCTTGTTTGGGAGGCCCAGAGGGCCGGTACTTACCTGTGGCCGTGACATTGAGGGTTGCAGCAGGGAAAACATTCAAGTGGCGGAGCTAGAGGCCCGCGGCAGCAGAAAAGCACTCAAGTAGCAGGTAGCCCGGTACCGCACCCAGTAGAAGTAGATGTGCCGGGTACTCGAGGCCGAGCAGAAGAAGACAAAGTTGGCAGTTTTAGAGGCCCAGTAGCGGTAGGCGAGGCCTAGGCGGGTACCAGTCCATCCAGTCTGAGTCTAGGGCCTGTATGGGCAGTATCAGAGTCTGCAATGATGTTTCCCTCCAAAAGGGAGGAGGTGCCAGTTGCTTGGGAGGCCGAGAGGCCTGGAAGTCACCGCCCACGGGGCAGGTAGGCCGCTATATCTTGAGGCTGAGCGAAGAGCCCAGCCTCATTCTTCAGTGTGCAAGTTTGGCGACACGCTGCCGGAGCGCTGGCTGGAGGAGCGCTGACTACTACAGCGCGGAAGAAGCCCGAGAGCTTCAACCTTGGCTATGGTGGAGCTCTACCGGTAGGAGGAGGAGGGAGAAGAGGACCAAGGAGGAGAGTGGCGAGGTACCTACCTGGCTATGGTGGACACCATCTTCATCACCTTGTTAGGCGCTGCATCTCGAAGGCCTCAGTTGGGGTAGTGCGGCATCAAGGAAGCTCGGGACAGAGTCAGGCATGGCGGCTGAACGGGCAGCGGCATAGCTGCCTTGTGTTGACCTTGGGACAGGAGGGCAGCGACATAGCTGCTTTGGGTTGTCCTTTGGACAGGAGGGTAGAGCCCTCAGTACTACGCCATAGCCTCGGCCTACACGAAGAGGAAGAGGAAGGGTGGCCATGGCTATGATGGACTTCATGTTGTGCTTGCAGTAGAAGAGGGATTCGGACATTGATTCTGGTTCCGCCATTCAACATTATTATTGTTATTTCTTGTTTGAATAAGAGGGGCGGAGATAAGGAGGAGGAGATTGGTTGGCGAAGAAGATGAGCATTATCTTTGGTCTATGCTGGAGTAAATCATCTTCTTCTTCTTTCTTTCTTCTTCTTCTTCTTCTTTCCCTCTCTCTCCTCACAAGTTCATTCATTTCTTTTTGCAATTGGACGGCATTGTACTTTCTGATGAATGTATACTTCGAAATTGGCCAGGATCGTAACACTCCTCACGAGTCGGTAAAAGTCCGACGAAACAGTCTGGCACAGACATGCTTTTCCTTGTGGAGTTGTGTATAGCAAACATGACAACACACACCGGGGGGAGGGGGGCAGGGGG